CCGTTCTTTCCCAACTAAAATAGAAAAGGCTGTATCACATCGAGATGTCGATTCGTTTTCCGCCCCCAATGAGATGGGGAATTTTTAACCCCTATTTCTATACTTTTTGGCCCTTCATCTTTCTGAATCGAGGCCCGGCCCGGCTCGCGTCGTTCCAACAACCGGCGGGGAGCACCTCAGTATACGATCGAGCGCAGTAACTGGGAGTCCTATTACACCTAAGGCCAACTTCAATTCACCAAACCAAGGTTCATCTCGTGTAGTGATTGTGGACTCGTCTAAGGATATTGAGTAGACGGTTGATGTATCAGACTCGACCCTCTCTTTCGTAGCATGCATTCCCATCCGTGTCGCAACTGATTCGGTAAGCTACGTGTCCGGTGCACGGAGAACTGCCTTCGGTCCCCCAAACTTACTTACTCGTGGCAACCTTCCGGCCGCCCAACAACCTATAACGCTAGTCACTACTCCCACTGGGGCTAGGAAGTCAGCCCCACAACCCAAAGCGGCGAAGAACAAATAGAATTTGCTACAAAAGCCGGCTAACGGGGGTATCCCTGCGTATGAGAACATAGTAATGGAGAAGGTAATAGCCGAAATAGGATTCGTTTTGGCTAGAGCGCCCAAATCCGCTATATATTTGACACGGGTTTGCCGTAATGCTGAAACTATGGCGAATGCATCTATCGTCATTAATGCATAAATAAAGAGACCAATTAGTAGTGATTGAATTCCTTCTATGGTTCCACATGATAAACCAGTACGAATATAACCTACATGTCCAATTGAACTATGAGCTAGAGGTCTTTTGACTTTCGTTTGGGCCATGGCGGCCAGTGCTCCTAAGATCATAGAAGCAATGCTGCAGAAAAAGAAGATTTGTTGCAATGTAGCTCCATAGGAACCATAAATAGAAACACGTGAAATATTAGCAGAAATAGATATTTTAGGCGCAATAGAAAGGAATGCTGTAACCGGGGTGGGTGAACCCTCATAGATATCAGGTGCCCACATATATAGAGTCAAAAGAGATATAGAGTCCGAAGGGGAGGGGGTTTTCTTCGGGGCTCGAGAGATGGAATAGATAGGGCCCCACAAGTTTTGAATTCGCCGCAGGGGAATTCACACGAAAGGGAACGAGGAATTCTCAACGAAAAAAGTGCTCTCTGAACCGAACGTGAAAGTCGTTTTCCATCAGACGGCTGTTCCCGTAACTCCACTCTCGACTTGGATTATATATCCAAAAAAAAAGGTCCGCTCTCGGCCATTCCACACGCTGCCTAGCAGAGGCGTGGTTATCTGAAGTGGATTCTCTCTTTTCTAGTAGATGCCGAACCTGCTGCCCCATTGACTAAGAAGGGGGCGGGCGCAGCAGCTACATGGACCCCTTCCTTTCTTTTGTTGCCAGCGCTTTCCCGGGCCGAGCCGGAATTCTTTATTAGATTAGAAAAGAAAGGGCAGGCAAAGCCCGAAGGCGGCTATCCCAATAGGCCAGCGGGCGGAACGAGGAGAGGGCCCGGCAATCATACGACCGCGGTCGAAAAAGCGTGTTCCCTTCCGATAAGACGCACCGTAGCCCATCCTCAGCCTTCTTCGTTTTCAATGAAAAAAAAATCCAATCTCGATCTCCGAAAGCGTTTTCCTTCCCCCGCCGCATCCCCCTCCCTTCGTCGAGCCTTTCCTTGTTTGGTTGGGGAAAGCATTCCCAACTCTGAACTTGGCGGGCATTCTTTCCAGCCTTATTCAGGGGTGAGTTTGTTTGGTTTGAACAGAGGCTCAAACATGATTTGAAGGTCCTAGCTACGCCATGCGTCCAATACAAAATCTGGAAAGCAGCAGGGATGACAAAAAAAGGACCTAAGAAAAGACAAGACGCTCTTCTCTTGGGTTTCTTCCTCCCGCGCCCGCCGCCTCCCGGCCCGTCTTAGAGGGGAAGATTAGCAAAGCGAGAAAAGACAGAGGGAGTGGGAGCAGCATCTTATTCTCTTCGCGATAACTTCCGGATCGGAGAAGCATTCGGAACGGGCTCCGCGTTCATTTCGTTGGCAGAAAGGATCTAATCCATTCGGGGCTTTCGGGGAACCCAAAAACGAAGTCTTTTTACTTTTTCATAGATAGAATCCATGAGAGATAGACAAGAGATAGATGAACGAGATATCTTTTTTTTTTTTTTTTTGGGGGGGGCTGTTCGCCTTTTGAATCTGACAAAGGTTGTAGTAGGGGCTTCATAGCTACTTTCTTCTAAAGGAAACCGAAGAACCAACCTTGAGTCAATAGGAGCCCTACTTCCCTCTTTGCGACCTCATCACTTCCATTCAAGCGCAAACCCATTTCTTTCTTAGTCACCGGGCGGAGCGCACCTTTTGTACTTCAGTAGGGCGAGCTTTTTGATAGTGACTTCTTTCGTTTGGTAGGGCGACGAAAGGCTACTTCAATCTAGGAAAGAGCCGGAAACTCGAGAGGGTCGCCTTTCGAAGCGTTCGCCGGTAACCAAAGCGTCACTCCTTTGATTATGTCGTGACGCTGACTGAATCCAATCGTAAAGTAGGCATTTTGCTTTGCCTTAGACTCTATTGAAACAAAGCAAAGAAGGAGGCGGAATGGAGAAAGGAAAGGGACAAGGGCGGTCTTGCTTGGCGCGAAGGCTGCTGGTTCGGGGGTAGGGTACGGTACTAAAGGTCCTCGGACTTCCAGGCGGTTTTTCTTTTTGGCAGCTGTTCACCGTTGGATCTCGCCAATACAGCCCCCTATAGTTTTCGTTACCGAGATATCTTTTTTTTCATTGTTCCCAGGGATTTTTTGGGTAATCCGCTCCCATGCTGCAAACAGTCAAATCTGAACTGAACCTTGTCGCTCTTCTTTCCTCGCGGGCAGGAAGCACACCAGCAGCGTGCGTTGCGTGATTCTACTGTGTTTTTTGCACTTGACTGGGTGGACAGTTGACCGGAAGAGAACTTCGATTCGCCCGGCCAGCAGGCGGGCGTCGTGCTTATCTTGTGTGACAACACTACAGAGCGAGTGGCTCTTCTAGGCGGGCAGCTGTGTGACAACACTACAGAGAAAGCGGCGCTTTCGTGTAACATGCTATGGTCTCAACGCCCTTACGAGGTAGTGATGAGTTTCACGCGCTCTAAGCCCGGCCCGCGCGCGGTTAGGAAGATTGGCCGCAATCTGAGCGGTACCACCCACCCTACCCTACCACCTATAGGCGGCCGTCCGTCCTACAGCCGCCCGAAAAGGAACTGCAGTGATCTTGAATAGGAATCCTACAGCGATAAATAGAATCCCCATAAAAATACCACTAGATCGAGCACCAGTGATTTCGTATCCGGTCAAAATCTTGGCTAATTGATCGAAGTGGGTAGCTCCAGTAGACCCATAGATCATGGAACAAATAGGGTGGGTAGGCCCAACCACCACACTACACGTATAGACGCGAACCCCCCTCGTTACCGTACGTGCGACTCTCACCGCATACGGCTCGCACAAAGACTCCTAAATCCATCCCGAGCCTTTTCTTCCACCTCTCCTCTCCAATCCTCGATCAAACTTGCCTTTCCCAGGCGCTATGAAATGGGCGGTTTTTCCTCCGCCTATCGTATGTATCAGCTTGGCTTCGTCCAGAACCAAGGAGGCATTCTGGCGGGCGCGTGCGTGTAGGAAGGCCGACCACTACATAAGCTAAAAGACTATGACTACAAGCCAAGCCGGAAGCGACTCGCTTCTATTCTCGTTGGGATTGGATATGTCTATAGATCGTAGTAGTTCGCCAACCTTTCTAACTAACATACGATACAATTTCACTTCATGGAATGGCCAAAAAAAAAGAAAGAGCTTTGCTCGGTTGGCCTTCCTACGCTGACGAATGCCTCCTTTCTCTTCTCTGAAGTCTACAACAAACAAGTGGGAGAGGCAGGATTCGAACCTACGTAGAAAAACTTCAACAGATTTACAGTCTGTCGCTTTTGACCACTCGGCCACTCTCCCCTTCCCGGGCCGAGGCCCCCCTCAATGGGTTCTAAGAAGGAGGGCGCCGCCCTGAATCAATCAAAAAAAACTTGATTTGATTGAAGGGAACTAATACTATTTATTAGCTTAGCTAGCGTTCCGAGAGAATCTAGTCATTTAGTAAGTTTATAATAAAAGAATCTCTGTAAAGCAAGGGGCAAAGCTTCGTAGACAGCTTCCCCCTCATGTAGTCGTCGGCCTTCCCCAGCCCCCCCTTCGTCGCTTCTGGCTAAGCTGCGAGTTCATGAGCAAGTGAATGAACGAGCCATGTTCCTAAAAGGAGTGACCATCTTTGTTTTCTTCCCTTCCCCTATCCCTTCAAAGCCCATAGGTTGTTGGGCGCTAGCGCTTGACTAATAGAATCTCAAGTCAAGGCTCTTCTGCTGAGCGAAGCTGCGAGCCTACCCTTCTCGAGCCTACAACAATAGCTTACGCTTACCAAGCCTAGTCTACTAAAATAGGGCTACAGCAAGCAAGCTTTCCCCCTTCGTTTGTTGTGGGTCGCGCCTCACCGCAGGCACTGAATGAATGAAATGAGTGGAGATCTTCCTTTCCTTCCCCCCTTGTTAATTACCAAGAACTTCGTTGCCACTAGTGGCGAAGAAAAATTCGACCATCCCACCTAAAAAAAAACAACTCGAAGCCTAAAAAGAAGAGAGTTCAGTCTACAAGAAGCTGGCAGAGCTTTAGCCATTGGACTACATCTATCTATCCTACCTAAACAGTAACCCTTTTCTTGTTCCTTCTTCGAATGACGCTAGTAGAAAGAAATTCCTTCCGGCTAATGAAGATACTACTCCAGTCTTCCCATTCATTCCCAGTGGATCCTTCTTCTCCCTAAGAATTGAACGAACCAAGTTCACCTATACGAGAGAATAAAAAAAACCAACAATCAACTTCCCACTTTGGATGTCCCACGATTCTGCTAGTTTAGAAACTAAGGAGAAGGACAGGGGTCGCTAGGTCAGAAAAGCGATAACTAACAAATCTCCCCAAGTAGGATTTGAACCTACGACCAGTCAGTTAACAGCCGACCGCTCTACCACTGAGCTACTGAGGAACAAGGGACTTAAGTAAGCCGACTCTCGTTCTTTGGACCAACCTATGACCGAACAAAAATGGGTTCGTCACTCTTTCTTTTTCACATACACCGGGAGATAAGGTTACGAGAGCAAGCCCCTCCCCGGCCGGAGAGCCTCCAGGACAAGGCGGCGGCGGTCAACCATCCACTCTTGAGATTCATATTGATCAATCGATCTCCGCGTCCTGCCAGTTCGCTAAGTAGACTCACTCTACCGAGATGCAACAAAGGTTGGAACTATTCCTGCCAAAAACAAGGGACCTACTTCTCATCCTAGGAGTGAGCAGGTATGATAGAGTCCCCTCTCTGTCTGTCTCTCCGAGTTTCTACTACTAAGTAGCACTTCTGCTATTCAATCATAGAATCGATTCCGATCCAGCTGAAAAAGCCCTAACTTATTAGGTTGCTAGCGCCCTATCTATAGTCAGGGGCCTCTTCTTGCTCGTTAGCGCTAACCTTTGATTGCAGCTAGCGCGCCCCCCTTCTTTCTCAAAGTAAACTTTCTCGCTTGTTAGTCAAGCTTGGAAGCCCCTACCTTTATTGGGATATTTGAAGAAAAGAAGCGCAGGTTTGGAACCCAACCTATACAAGGTGCTGGTCTCGATCTCGCTTGGTGGTGCCTCTCTCGATGATTGTTGAGTCAACATTGATTTCGTGCTTGAGTTGGAGGGCCCTCCCTCCATCCATCCATCGAGTCAAGTAATTCGCTATCGGAAATTTTTCCGCCGCCTATATCATCTCATGCTTCTTGTTTCTCCGAATTGGTTCCTAGTCTGAGTCAATCAAGATTCGCCATCAAGAGAGGGAAAGGGAAGAGCCTTTACTTTAGGTTAGGCCGGTCTCGGCATTCACGCAATTCCCCCGTCCATCGATCGATCACGCGAGTACGCATCCAGTCAGCACATAGCGAACGAAAAAAGCATTCATCCTAGATTGGATTCTCTTCCTCAAAAAAAATGTCTATCAATTGATCCCTATCCCTATTCATTCGGTCAAAGTCTCCACGGCCTTTTCACGCCCCTCTACTGAGAGGCGCACCATGTTGATAGGAATCGGCAAAGACCTTCTTGTACACGTCCTCGAGGGCAGCATTCATGGCAATCATCACTACTTTCTCCCGAGGGCATGGTATGGCTTTGTTCTTGGTGTTGTTTAATAGATGTCGAGTGCCGCTTTTCCCCGTCCGAGAATCTCCATCTGCTCTAAGTGGGCGAGCTAGAATCCTTATGTCAGGTTGGTTGTTCAAAAGACTTTCTCTTTACCCTTTGCATCTTCATCTTTTTGAAAGCCCAGACCCGGATCTTCATTAGTCCTATTTCAGGTGCAAAGCCTCTTCAATAAAGACCTCTTTCTCTCTTTCTTTTCTTTCTCCCCCATTTCTCATTTTTTTTATTGAAAGAGGATAAGCGCTATCCATTGAGTAAAGGGAGGGTTTGCTACAGTGATTCGGGCGGTTGGTGGCCCCTTCGAGAGTTGCGGGTCCTTGTCGCTGCATGAGTGGTAGCTCACGCTCAAAACTCCTCCGACACGAGTCCTAGTCGTTGCGCTGCGGCCCCTTTCCCGGCTTCGCTTGCGCGATTTGCACTTCTAATTGGTTCCATCCATCCCCGACCCTAATGAATGGACTATGAAGGGGTCAGTCAGTCAAGTGGTTCGGGTTCTCGGTCGGTTCCCGTTCGCCTGCCCCCCTCTAAGTCCATTAGTGGGTAGGGTGGTCAACTTAGAGGGCGCCGGCCTACTCTTCAGACGTGTCCTCGACAACCTGGCGGTTGTTCGGTCTCCGCTTTTGGGGGCGGGAGTGCTTGGTCGCTGGGCTTTCCTTTTCCTCAACCAATTCGGTTGTGTCAGCCTGGTCTAACATTTTGTTATGAGCTGGCTGGACAAAGATGGATTGAAGGGGCGTATAGCCTTTGAGTTCAAGTGGCACAGGACCTTCGATCGACCATGGGGCGTATTCTACCCTTACCGAATTCATTCTATTGAAGCGTAACGTAAAAAGATCCTTCTCATGTTGCATTTCTTTGGTTTGGAAGTTCCAGAATGTTGTCTGTGGATTTCTAACAAAGGAAAGCCCTCTTATGTTATGCCATTTGATTATTTCAAGTTCCGTGCTGCTCGCCACTCCCCGAGGCCAAGGACGGGGTCGAACCGTCATTCCAGGATTTGCAGTCCGATACATTTCCATTATGTTACCTAGCCAAACCCGCCACCTCATGTGCCAAAGTAAAATGATTGTTCTTCCGTCCCCGCTCCCTCTTTTTCTACATATGCGGTGGCGGGCGGAGCGCTCTATATGACCGGCGGCGGGTTACCAGAGAAGAGGGGACCACTTCTTTCTCCCTTGCCTTGCTCAATCTTCCTTTTCTGATTGAAAGTAGCAAGCCACTCCACTACTGGTACAGAGGCCAGATAGAAGGTTGCTCATCCAGCCCAGCGGATCCATTGTTTATGCGGCAGTGCGATGCAAAAAGGTAAGCTTAGTAAGGTATAGGTTGGGGAAAACTCCAAAACTAGGGTTCCAAAAAGCTTACCTTATATATATAAAGTTTTCGAAAGGGGCACCCCTACTATATATACCCCTAAACTACAAGCTAGCGCGCAACGGCTTTTCAGCCGTTGTTACTTGCTGCTTGCAGGCTCGAAAATCTCTCTTTCGCCTCTCCTCCCTGTCTCCATTCTGATTGATTCGCTTCTTCCTTCGCGCAAGGGCTTGGTTCGCCCCCTGTTGTCTTGCATTTTGTGATCCTACGCTTCAGTCTGCCTTTTTCGGATAGCCGGGATCCGACGTTGATTTCCGATTGAAATGTCAGCTCCAGGTTTTGGGCGGCCCATCTGGTTAGTTCAGCTATCACTGCTGTAAGCCCCTGCGCTTGTTCGGCTGCGTACTCCCCGTCCGCCTATCTCACACTCCCAAAGCATATTTCTTATTTCATATTTCATTTTCCTTTCCTGCATCTTTCTTTCTATCCGGCTTCGTGCAGATAGATGTTTGCCGGGGGAGATTGGTGCTCCTTGAGGTATGCCCTTCCGGTGGGTTCTTCCCTTCTCTGTCTTTTCCATCCAGTGCCCGCACTGCGTCAGAAAATCTTCGTCTTCGATCTCTTTTCGCAACGCAATAAAAAAAAAGAAGTCTAACAGTTTCTCTCGGCATCTGTCTTTTAAGTCATTGATCTCATATCTAGAAGGTTGCAGGGGGGTCTGCGTTCACTATGAAGCCTACGCCCGTCCATTCCTTTCAAGCTTGATCCCGCCCTTAGACTCCTTACGCTGTTCGACTGAACTCGTTGGCTCCGCGCTCTATTCGGTCGGAACCCGGTTCGAGAACCTTCTCTCATAGATTCCCTTCACCAAGTCATCGCCAGCAATCAGCTCAACTCCCTTGGTTGGTGTCAAAGGGCGAGTTCCTTTCTTGTCTTGCCCAAAAACTTTCTTTATTCTCATTGGAGAAAGACTCTCCCGCGGCAAGGTTTTACACATAGGGCCAGCTGCTTTCTTTATCTCGCTTGCCGTTAGTCCGTCTAGCGCCTTTCGGTTGGGGTCCGCCCCGGGAGTTAGACCGCTTGGGTTATATTGATTTTATAGTCTCTAAGGCAGTCAACGTGTCAGCCATTCTTCTCCCATTAGACTTTTTTGAAATCCTTTGCTCTTTTTCCTTCTCTCTTCCAGTTCTCTCCCTCTACTTTATTTGACAGGGGCGGAGAATACCACTCTATCAATAACAAGAAGAAAGTAGCAATTCAGTTTCAAATGGTTTGAGCTTGGAAGCAACTTGCTATCTATCGATAGGCGAGAACAGACTCCTATTGGCTGCTTCGCCTATCTATTCTATGTTGGCCGGCTTGGAGACATCAGAGGAAGACCATCATCTCTATCCGGGTACGATCATAGCTTCATTCATTCGTTGAACCTTGGGGATAACCATTAACATTGAGGTCAATCACCACACCACCTCTATCATACATACGACATTACATGACGCGAGAGTGCATGGTCAACACACACCTAAAGCGCCTACGTTCCGCTTGCAGCCAATACAACCACAACCTAACTTGCACGAGATTCAACAACCGAAGCTACTAGTAGTCCCGAGGGGACGGCATCCTCCTATAATAGTTAGCAGTACTGAACAAGCGAGTCATCGGTTCGGGGAAAGAGAAAGAAAAGGAAGCAGCCGAATGGATTCGCATTCCATTGAAGTAGGGTTCCAAACCCACCATTCCGGCCTATTATTGATAGGGATTATTATCAATAAGATTGAGTCCAATGTGGTCGAGCAACTAAGTAAGATGCCCGCCTTTCTATGCTGTGACTCCTCTTGACTTTGATCGCGAACTTTGGGACATGATGGATGCTCTTTCTCATCCTGATCGAGATGTGCTTTCAGCGATGGGATTGGAGCCTCTCTACTGTCTCCGCCGCGTGGCAGTGAATGAGAACATGAGTTGAGCTGCTGCTCGCAATTGGGATTCACGAGATCCTGTTAGTACATGTGATTAACCAATTGAGAGATGGACACAACCCAAGGAGGATCGTCTTAGCAGAGACTATCGATGGATTGGATGCTCATTTTCTAAACTTCAGCCTTCCTTACGCAGGGCAGGCTCACCTTCATACGCTGCCACTAACCATACGGACGAGACAAAGATGGCTAACCTTCCCTTACTCAACTAAGGGAAAACCAGGGGAAAGATAATGGAAGGAAAGCTCACGCACAAGAAGAGGGGCACATCTGCAGCTGCCCAGACACACAAGATTGTCCGCGAGGGACTCGGGCATTACACCCGCAGACTGGAATCATTAACCGATCATGAAAATAGACCAGATATTTCACGAGACAGGGTGGGTGCCTTGATCTTTGCATGTGAGACTTGCAGTGGTAGACTTTCTTGTGTTGTGGCGCACCTCCCTCTG